AATGGCTGGTGGGAAGAGGGCCACCTAGCTGTTTGATCTGTAAGACCATAGTTTATTTTGTGTCTTGTGTAATTTTTATTCTAAAGCCCTTTCAAACGTTCTGACAGATATTTAGTTCAGGTAAAGAGCTATTTCCCATTCTAATTTCTACTTTTGAATTAACCTTTTAGTTTCGGGTTTAACTCCATTGACAAAATAAGAAAGGGCCGCTGTTACATTGGCACCTTTGTTAACTCTTGAATGTTGTCTGGAGGTATATTATAGTCTATCCTGAAAATCTCCTATAATTCCATCTTGTCTTGGTTTGCATTATTGAATTACGATACAGCAGATTTTTATAGAATATGTTTAGGAGACTTTGTTCTCCTTTTTAGGGCTTTTTTTTTTCTCAGATTCTAAGTGTTATCGGGGAAAGAGTGATCTTTGTAGATCCCTACCAGCTTTTCTTTAAATTTGAGATTTAACACCTGAGGATCTGGCCAATATATGTATACATTGATATATTTAGGTTACATAACCCTGAATCATATGAACTCAAATGAATCCTAAATTCTTCTAGAAATAGTTGCTGGTCTTGTTTGGAAGTAGAGAAGTCCTTGATTATTGCTCTTAATTCATCTTGGGTGCAAAGTTTAAATTATGCAGTTGCCTGAATATCTTGCTTTTGAGGGGAGATGGATCTTTAGAAGCAACTGACATTCTGGAGTTTTAGGAGAGTTGTTGAGAAAATGCAGGAGGCCTGGACAAGAGGAAGAGAAAGGGGGAGTTGATGGAAGTGAAGAAAGAGAGAGATCAGAAGGCTAAGGGATTAAGGGGGACATCTGGATATAGGGAGCCAACCCAAAGGGGAAGATTTACTGGTAAATGAGTCTCGTTTGTTGTTGCTTACATTTGTCAAATTGCTTGTTAGCTTTGGCCAAAGCATCTTTTAGTGGAATAATTCTTCAATCAGAATTTCCTGTGGAGGCCTCTGTGTATCGCTCAAAAACTGTTGCCCGTGAGGCCTAAGAAATCTTAATTCCCTTTCTTTTCTAAGTTGCCGTCAAATAAAAAATTTTGTTCAAGTCAGGTGGTCCCCAGAGTGGCTACTGAAGGCCTAACTCCTCATTGCTGAAGTTATGCCACTTAGAGAGATAGGCACAAGCATTATAATTGTAATGACAGTATGTATAAGAAGCAGAAGTTTTTCCTGGTGAAGGAGAGGACATAGACAATTTAGACTTAGAGCACCCCATGAGGGCTGGCTACCATGTTGAAAGTTATGCTCTGCTTTTCCTGTCTCAGCCCCCAGCCTGATGTTTGGCCCTTTTGAACACAGACTGGACAATCTGTGCCCCCTGGTAGGAAGAATCTCAGAATAACCTCTTTCTTTGGATCAAAAGCAAGCCCGCAGGACAAAAAACCAAGATGAAGTGAGAACCTCATCCAGTTTTATTGGTGACTCACAACAAAGTTTGTCCAAATGGATGTAGTCTGGTGAGAACTGCAAATTCATCGGTCTGTGAAACTGGCTCGAACAACAGGGTTGTAGGGCCCATGACAGTGTTCTACCCCTAGGATTCTCCTTCTTATGGAAAACACTTTTAGACAGCACAATACAAAATAGACGTACAAAGAACAGCACAAAGGCTGAAAAGGAGTTGCCTGATTCCACTAAGGATGAAAACAGTAACCAATAACAGAATCCGAATATCAAACTTCAAATGAATAGCTTAGGAACTCAAGGCAAAGAGGGAGGAGTTCCAAGCCACCACTGACTTACCATGTTGGCATGGACTTGACAAGCCATAAGCAACAAGGCATAAGGAGCCCCTGTCGGCACAAGTGTCCAAAGTCCACAGCCATGGACAGCACAGACCATGTCTCAGTGGAGTCTTTGGGAAAACTGTGGAAAATCAGCCTGTTAGAGAAGGGAGTCAGTCACCACCACTTGTGTTTGTCAGAGTCTCAAAGGCAGGCAGGGGAGTGGGAAAGCTTTATGGTGAAAGATTCAGGTAAAGGGAAGAATTCTGGTATGCCGATTGGAGCTGTTGGCAAGGAGAAGCTAGAGGTTGGCTAACTAGAAACAGGGCATCTTATGTGATTTTTTTAAAGGAGCCTATTTGGCTTTCTCTGGTTGGTCGTAAGTTAGAGGCAAGTAATAAAAGAGGGAAGCTAGCAGTCATTGTCCAAGACTTAACCATTCTTGCCTGATTGCTGCAGAGGTGGTGGTTTGGAAGGCTAGTTGCTAAACAGGTTGTGGGTGAGAGTTCTGTTATCATATATGACCTGGCCGTGGTCCATTTGTTTAGTCAGTCTATCAAGAAGATGTCACTGAGCAATTACCTCTCATTTAATCATAGTAACTGCCTCTTTCATATCCCTATTTTACAGCTGAGGAAAGCAAAGCTCAGGAAGTCTGAGTAATGTATTTAAGGTTATACAACTAGTGACACTAGCAGAATTTAAACCTGTGTGTTCTGGACCTATTTTAAATGATGCTTCATCTTGTAAAGACCATGAGATTATTCTGATGCTGCCCTATCTTTAAAAATAGTATGTAATTAATAAATAGTTGTTGGGTGAGTGAATGGATGAAAATAATTTTGGAATACTTCTCTTGAAATTTCTTCCAAAGCTGGCATCTTTTGAATACTTTTAACAAATGCATATCTTGATGATGGTTAGTTAATTTTTGGAAACAGACAAACATTTTTCTGAATTAAGATGGCGAATAAGGTGAGGGAACACGCTGGCTCAAAAACCTAGCAGTCCATTTAGTAATGAGGTTAATTTTGGGATTTTTGCACATTTTGCATGTGATTGACAAAGCAGCTTTGAAGGCCTTTCCAAAGAAGAAGTTGCAAAAATAGTGTCATTTTGAGAATTAAGAACTCAACTTTCTGAAAGACAATACTCATTTTAGAAAGTAAGCGAAATTCTTGTTGTTTTGTGGTTTACCTTTCTGTTTAGTTTTATGTAGCTAAGTGGTCTATGTCATTCAACAAATATTTATCAAACACCTATTATGTATTTAGTGCTGTGCTTTGAACACAGGTATCAATATAGCCCTTGTCACTAGAAGCTCACAGTCTAGTTGAGAGAGAAAATTAACAACTGAAATGCAATTCAACAAATACCATAAGTAGACTGATATATATTAATAGCTGGATGCCCTGGGAACACACAGTAGAAACAGTGATGAGCTGGTACATTGTGAACAACTGACTTCTAGGGGAGTGGATTGGAGGGTAAGGGCTTGATTTGCAGTGTTTACTGATTTCCCTGGTGTAAATGCTCTCACCGTGGCCAACATGACATCATCAAAAGGGGAATTGGAAGATGTGCATTAGTACATTATACTGAATTTCCACCATATAGATAAAATGCATGTAAATAACCTGAAGAGGATACATAATAGTAAAATGGAGTAAAATAATTTGGAAGCGATGGATTTTGAGTATTTTTACTTTTGCTTTTAATATAATTTAATTTTTGAGTGGCTGTATTTAAAAACTAGCTCACAAAATTACTGAACACTTAACAATCAGCTCTTGCAAGTGGGTGTGAATCAGTCCAAGTAGGCATACCACCAAGTGAGAGCAATGTCAGAAATTACTGTAGGCTCACATAAGATGAAGACTGTAAGGCAACTGAAGACAGGAATCTCCAGCAATAAACCTCTAGGTTGTTGAATTGTTACAGGACTGCCAGGTTTCTATGCCTGCTGTGCAGGAACAGACCAATATACAGACAGTGGGGTTGCAGCAGAGAGATTTTAATAATCACAAGTTATAAGTCAGGAAACAGGAAGAATTCTCAAGCTTCAATTCATTTCATCAAGGGGTTCTAGGCAAAGGTTTTTAAGGGGATTTCTGGAGGGTGAAAGGAAAATTTGGGGTCATCAATTTGTAGGGGTAAGGGGGATGAAATCATCAGGATGTGACAATGGCATTTCTCCAAGAATCAGCTTTTTATTGGGTCTTCCAGACAAGCTGGCATCCTTAGTTTTGTTGTTATGCAGAACCTAAAGAAGCCAAGCAAACAGAAAGCTTCTCTTCTCACAATGTTTTAGATTTTAATCTATAAAACAGAAAAAGAATGAAGAGTCTTGTGACAAGGGCCACATTTTCCTGGGGTAGTAAGTAGCAATTAGCTACAGGAAAGTCAGCCATAGGGCAAGCTGGCTTAATAATAGCAGCTGTAAGCCTACTTGAATTTTTCTTCCCCCTTAATCAATTTTACAAAATGTTCTTGGGGACATTTTCAGAACGGTCAAAGTAATTCGTTAATTCATTATCAATTTTTTAAGGCTCTACTTGATTCTGTTTTAGGTGCCTGGGGTGGAGGGCACTGCAGCAAAAACCAAGTCCCTGCCGTTAGGTTAGAGAGCTTATATTCATGGGTGTGTGTGTGTGTGTGTGTAAACAAACGTCTGGCATGTCACGTGGTGAGTGGTAAGTGCTATGGTTAAACACTGAGTAGTGCAAAGGGAAAAAGGAGTGGGGTACTGTTATTTCCTATGGGGTTGTCAGGCAGTAATAAGTGTGGAACTATATCAAGGTAAAGACTGGAAGTTTTGGCATCTGACAGTCAGTTTAAATAAGGCAAAAGCACAAACTCTGCACAGATCTCAACCATCCAACAGGACTGGAACAAAGAACAACCTAGAAACCCCACGTACCTGGTCTTTACTCGGTTCGCCGGATTTGCACAAGTGCAAAATCCTTTCTTGAAGTTCCTATCAGGAACACCAGGGTTTAACTAGACCAATCAGCTGCAGCGGGGCGGGGTCCATCCTTTGCCCGGTCAGCGAAAAGCGCGGGCTCCTTTGCGCATGCTCAAATATTCCAACGTCCTCCTCGCGCGCCATCTAAGACGGTCTGCGCATGTGCAGGAGCGAGACGTGGTTGGTGGTTTGTTGTGTTTTTTTGTCCCAAGGCGCTGCCGTACCGTCCAGGCGGCGAGTTGCATTCTGGTTCCGTCTTGTCCCTTGTGTGTGGAGCTGGTTCTCCCACTGACAACGGACGCCACCGCGGTCATGAACCGCGAGAGCTTCGCGGCGGGCGAGCGACTTGTGTCGCCGGCTTACGTGAGGCAGGGCTGTGAGGCCCGCCGCTCGCACGAGCACCTCATACGGCTGCTTCTGGAGAAGGTACCGAGCTGTCGGTCCCCTCCCCAGCCGCCGCGACCCCGGGGCTCAGGCTCCACCCGGCGTCCCTACTGGTGCTACCTCTTCGGCAGCTCATTGCTGCCTGAGACTAGTCCCAAGTCTGTCTCAGTTCGGCTCGTCCTCGCTGACCGACTGCGGTCTGTGCCTTCTCAGCCTTGCCAAAGCCAGTGAAAGCCAAAGGCTGTTCTTAAGGAGGGATTGTTGGGGTCGGGGTTTTGAGTCCCGCTGTTTCTAACTTCGGGATGCAGAAGTGAGGGAAAGTCCCAGTTTACTTTTTTTTTTCCTGCGGAAGGGCAGAGTTCGCGCCTCCATCTTTCACCACCCTCAAGGAGTCAGAGCACATATGGTGTTTGTAGACCTCTGTATGCTCACTCCAACCACGAGGTTTCAGCGGAACTTCACGGGCCTCCGTCCCTCCTGTCTGCATTCCTGAATTTTAATTTCACTACAAGTTTTGTTGTGTGTGTGTGTGTGTGTGTTTTGAGACAAAGTCTCGCTCTTTCTCCTAGGCTGGAGTGTAATGGCACAATCTCGGCTCACTGCAACCTCTGCCTCGCGGGTTTAAGCGATTCTCGTGCCTCACTCAGCCTCCCGAGTAGCCGGAATTTCAGGCGTGTGCCACCACACCCGGCTAATTTTTGTTTTTAGTAGAGACGGGGTTTCACCTTGTTGGCCAGGCAGGTCTCAAACTCCTGACTTAAAGTGATCCGCCCTCTTCGGCCTCCCAAACTGCTGGGATTACAGGCGTGAGATAATATTTAATAGAAGTTTGACAACCACTGCCCTCTTCCGCGCCCCTCCACCCCAATAGTAACGCTCTGGTTTGAAGTATCTTCATTGGGGTTGGGGCATGTTGGTTTTCAGTTAGTTTCACTTACGAAAATTTAAATATCTGAGTAAATGCATTTATCATCACTTTTCCAAATCTATTAATAATTATAATCAAATGTACAAACGTTTTGTCTATTTGCGGTCTCTATATAGTGCTGAATTTATGCCTGAATTTAGCAAACAAAGAGCATGGCAAAATACACATTAAAAAGTGAAAATGTATTCCTGTTGTATTCTAGAGAACCAGAGTTTTATTAAATATAATATTTTTTTGTTTGTTTAAGGGCAAGTGTCCAGAGAATGGCTGGGATGAAAGTACACTTGAACTCTTTTTACATGAGCTTGCAATCATGGACAGCAACAATTTCTTAGGCAATTGTGGTGTGGGAGAAAGGGAAGGGAGAGTTGCATCCGCATTAGTTGCTCGTCGTCATTACAGGTAACTTTTTAAAATTAGTACGGGACGCCTGTCGTTTATTTATTTTGGGTTCAAAACAATGGCAGCAGTATTCATCTTATTAGATTATCAAATGTCTGTCTGTAAACCACTTCTTCCCTGCTCAAATGGATATGTAAACCAGATGCAACAGGGAGATGGAAACAATTTTATCTCAGCAAGTGCTTTTCAAAGACAATAGTCTAAAAATATATGGGGGTTACTCTGGCAGGTTCTGGGTGAACAACACAGGGTATACATTTTGTTAGGAATGGTTACCCTGATAAACATATCTGGTTTTAAGAGTTTAAAATCCGTTAAGGCTGTTTATAGTTTTCTATGTTTCTTTTCTAACATTGGTGGGGTTTTTGTTTTTTTGAGAATGATTTATAGTTAGAACTTTTAAACTGTGTTTAAACTGTATCTCATTTTATAAATACCTCTCTGTTGCAGTAGATATAGTAGATTATTAAGTGACTTATCTCTTGCGTTATTGAAGAAAAGTTTTTTTTTTTTTTTTTGAGACGTAGTTTTGCTGTTGTTACCCAGACTGGAGTGCAATGGCACGATCTCGGCTCACTGCAACCTCCGCCTCCTGGGTTCAAGCAATTCTCCTGCCTCAGCCTCCTGAGTAGCTGGGACTACAGGCATCTTACCACCATGCCCAGCTAATTTTTGTATTTTTAGTAAAGACAGGGTTTCACCTCGTTGACCAGGATGGTCTTGATCTCTTGACTTCGTGGTCCACCCGCCTTGGCCTCCCAAAGTGCTGGGATTATAGGTATGAGCCACCACGCCTGGCCTGAAGAAAACTTTTCATTAATTCTGATAACGGTTCAATTGGTAGTTGTTCCAAATATCATCACTTATTTCTCTGTCCACTAACCTTTCTGTGAAGTGTAAACTCTTTTAAATCAAACTCCTGTTTCCATGCTTTTATATTGTAATGAAAATTTCCTCGGCCTAGTGGAATTTGTATTGTAGTCAAAACCACTGCAGTCAAAACTGATGATAATGCCTAATTCGGATGAAAATTTCAGTTAATAGTTTGCTGATAACATGGTGGATAATAAGTGTAACAAATGTTTTGTACTTGAGATTTCAGTGGTGAGGAAGTACAACACTAGTATTCTTTGAAAATCCCCCTGTACAGAATTTCTGATGTTTTACTGACAATCAGAAATTACTCAAATTACAAAAGGGTTTTTTTATTTTAAGGGAGTATTCAGATGTATCTAAACAATGTATAATATCATCTGATTTAAAATGAGTAGATTTGCACTCTGATTTTCTAGGAGCATATTGTTCTTTTAAAATGAAGGCAATATTTGAACATCAGCTTATCTTCATTGGAACTTAGTCCACTATGTGATTAGGGGAAAAGGAAAGAAAAAAGATAATTTAATGTTTCATATATTCCAGTTTTCTAGTGCTACAGAACAAACCGCCCTAAAATTAAGTGGCTTAAAACATTTATTTATTATTATCTCTCATAATTCTTTGGATTAACTGGGCTCAGCAGGGTGAGTATTGCTTTGGGATTCTCATGTAGTTGCAGTCAGATACTAGCTGAGAGTTTAGTCATCTGAAGGTTTTCCTAGCATGAAAATTTCACACAGTCACTCCTGTTAGATTCTTCCTGGCCAAGCAAGTCGCTAAGGTTAGACCAGATTCAAGCATAGGGAAAGTAGACATCATCACTTGGTATGGGAGTAGCATGTGGGCATAGGGAGAAAAAGAATTGATTGTGGCTGCCTTTTGAAACCAGCTATCACAGCATAGTTGATAGAGTTGTTTCAATTTAAGTAGGATAGTTCCACATTGTTAATAGTTTATAACATGTATCTGTAACAGCCAAATATTGCTCCTGGTGTTTTTTTTGGTTATTTTATTTGCGTACTTGTACATTGTATTACTTAGAATGCTGAATGTATTTGTCCAGTTTTTGGCCCATTTTTTGCTTAGGTTAATTCATGGGATTGGACGATCGGGTGATATTTCTGCTGTGCAACCAAAAGCTGCAGGCTCTAGCCTTTTGAACAAAATTACCAATTTTTTGGTCCTGGACATGATTAAGCTGGCTGGTATGTACTATCTTAATCATAATACTTTTGGCTGACTGGACACACACACACCATTGACTCATTTCCTTTATTATTGCCCTTTTCCAAAAAAAAAAGTACTTTTTAAAAATAAAATATCTTAGAATAAGATAGAAAATCAGAGCCAGAAGCCCAGAAGTTGAATTTGGCATTGTACTTCCTGGGAGTGAGTACAGAAACAGAAGCACTAGGGCAACGACTTTTATTATTTTGTAGATGAAGTATATTATTTCTTCAAGAAGGATGCTGGGTATTTAGTGGGATAACAGATTTTCTGTTTTGCTTCTTATTTATAGGTGTCCATACAGTAGCCAACTGCTTTGTAGTTCCTATGGCAACTGGTATGAGTCTAACCCTATGTTTCTTAACATTACGACACAAAAGACCAAAGGCAAAGTATATTATATGGCCACGAATAGACCAGAAGTCCTGCTTTAAATCCATGATCACTGCAGGTAAGAGAAGTGTCATATATAATGTGTTAAGCATCACAATTAGAAAATTCAGACTTCTTATATAAATATAGATAAGTGAAAAATAAACTAAATCTGTACCCTATTGCTTTTTTTAAAGAAAAAATTGTGGTAAAATATATGTAACAAAATTTAATGTTTGTATTGCTTTATGTAACTTTTAAGTTTATGGGTACTTAAATATCGACCATAAAACATTACTCAATTATTATTTGTTGAGGGACCTTTGCTTATATGCTAGTTAAGTGTACTGTTTTAAATGAAAATGTGAAAACAATTTTTATCTTTATGAAAAATTTACAGTATACATTTTGTTTTAATAGAAGGCTTTTGTAGGCTGTGAGATGAATCAGTGATCCTTAGGCTGCTGAAATTTATTGTATTTTTCTTTAGAGGTAAAACATTAAGCAAATGATTGTGATTTGTTTCAGTGATTGAATTATATTATTATTTATATCCTGTATGAAATAAAGTGAACTTTAAAATAAAGCAAATATTGCCAGAGAATGAGTGGGCTTACTTTTCTGTGGACTGAGATTGAACTGGATTAAAGTGATCCTTTTTGTTATCAGTGTCTGTGTTATTACTTCTATAGATATCTGGTTAACTTTTATTTTGCTTCTTTCCAGAATTCATTCTTGTCATATTGAAGTGTTAAATAGACATATGGGCCTAAAATTGTGTAGTTGTCCTTCACAGTATTTTGACCTGCCTTTGACTAATACCGGAACTGAGCCACGTATTTATTACCAGAGGAAGGTTAATCCACCAACATAAATATTAAGAGTTCTTGTGTAAAATAGCATGCTTCCTAGAGTTTCAGGATCTTCCCTTATTTTAGTTCACGCTAACAGTTTGTTTTCTGGTTTGTTAGGTTTTGAGCCTGTGGTGATAGAAAATGTTTTGGAAGGTGACGAGCTACGTACAGACCTGCAAGCAGTAAAGGCTAAAGTCCAGGAACTTGGGCCTGATAACATTCTGTGTATTCATTCTACTACATCCTGTTTTGCTCCCAGGGTGCCTGATAGGTAAATGATCTGTGAATATTTTCTTTTAGCTGTTTATCAGTCTTTTAAATAAAATATGATATACTAATTCTCAAATATGCTTACTACTTCGTAGTAAATAGGTGAATGGTCTGTTCTAAGAGAATAGATTGACCTCGTGGAGAAACAGCATAGTGGCTTGGGAAAATAAACATTTGAAATAGAACAAGGAAAACAACTAGTACAGGGTGGGAGCTGCCTTTATCACCCGAGTAGATGCAGGCCATCTTTGTTTTCTTGCTCTCTATTCTGTTTCTGATTTCTTAGCATCTTTTTTCTTATTATTTAATAGAAGTTTCTTTTCTAAGATAAATGTTGGGTTACTTCTTTTCATTGCTATCAGTGTTAATTTTAAAAAATTTAGGGTTGTTTACTTTCAAATTTCTGTAATTGAAAGATTAACTCGGATGTATACTTAACGTGTGCATAGTGGTTGTCATTGCCTACGTTTTGAGAATAATACAAACATAAAAAGCAAAAAGGAAAGAAAGCAAATGTTTACTTTTCTAAAGGATAGTCACAGATTTTTATTCTGAAAGTGTAATAGGCCCAGGTTTAGTAATAAGATTTCTGGTTTTAACTACAATTTTTTTTGGTTCATTTTAACATTTTGAATGGAAGGGTAATAATTTGTAAGAACTATATTGACTTTGGACTTTTCTTGTAGCATCAAGTTATACTTTGGTTTTAATTCTTGGAATCATGTTATTTGGCAGTAATGAATGCCATGTTGGCTTTTATTATCTTATAGGCAGATTGTAAGAGGCAGTTTTTAAACTGGACTCTTAAAAATTTACCTTGTTCATGAGCCTGTGAACTCTATTTTAAGATTACTTTGCATATGCTATTGTGGTTTCTTCATTACTTACCAATCAGATTTCAAATTTGTATTGAAATATTAAATAAGCATCTTTTTTTTACTGATGGTTTTGATATATATAAAATTTTTAACATGATAGAAATCACATTTTGAAAAACAGCATATGGATATTTGTATTAATTGGATTGTTTATCCTGTGGCTACTTTCCTTTTGTTTCATTTTGACTAACGTCTTTGAATTTTACAGTATGCCTGGCACAGTGTTAAGTGTTCTACTTGTATTATCTCCTTGAGAAAAAATTTCATAAAGTTTTTTTATCAGTCAGAAAAATTCTCATTTGTCATTGTTGTGTAATGAATATTTCTGAATACGAGTGAAGTAGTAAAAGGGTGATGCACAGTCATGTTTGAATTTCTGACTTTATTAAGTTTTAAAGCTACATTTTGAATTTTTTTTACATCAAGCTTTATTCCTTTATAGTCTTAATTTTTTGGGTGCAGTATACATTTTGTTTTTATTAGTTATTTAATCAGACAAAAGGTATTGTGAAGGAAATTCACTTAAAGGAAATGTTACAAAAAAGAAGGGTATTTCTTCTAACTGATAAACACCTTACATTGGCTTCTAAGTTAGAAAACAGTTTGATTCATATGAAAAATATTTTTTCTGTTTCTTCTTTCATTTTAATACTTTTTGAAAAACACCCTAACCATTAACAGATTTAAGTAATTCAGATTATTTAAAACTACTCACAAGTGATTTTTTTTTTTCTTTTAAAAATAGAATGTAGTGTTATGGAGCCTTATTTTCAAAGAAGTCCTTTATTAAGGAATATTTTCATTTGAACACGCACCCTTTATTTTATGAAGAAAATACTTCTGTGTATCCCAGAAGGCCTATTTTGTAAAAAAAACACATCTATTTTATAAAAAAAAAAATCATCTGATTAGTTTGAAGTAACAAAAATGATTTTTGTATCAATTTGTAGGGTTCCTAAAAACGAATGATAAAATGAGTTTTAAATTCATGAGACTTCAAGGGAGCAAATTGATAACTTGTTTTTGGTCTGAGGCAAACTGGACAAAAAAAGAAAACTTGTGACAGATGAACAAAGTAGTATTATTCCTCCTTATAGTTAACAATATATTAATGATATCTAGTAGATAAAGAACATGTGTTATGCGTAAATAGGTAATTCAAACTATATATTTGAAATATATCCTGTTGGAAAGGACTTTACTTGTATAAAAATGCTTTCAAATTCTTTATAATTTAGAGAGAAAACTTTTAATAACTTTACTAGAACATAGGATTTAGTTTTAGTTTCATAGCAGGAGGACGTTTCTATTAAAGATGAGCTCAGTCACAAGAAATATTTGGCTTGTGAAAGAACATCTATTTATTATGCTCTCACTGAAGTTTATTACCTTACTTTGCATAAAGTTAGACTCTCAAATTAATATGAGAGGTGTAAAATGAAAAAGTAAGAGTAGATAAGGGTGGATTTAAAACCAGTAGCTATTTAAAAGATTACTCAGTATCTAAGTTGTTGGAAAATGTTATTTTGGTAATGACACATTTTAATGTTCTGTATTTTTTAATACATTAAAGTCTATTTAAGAATGCATTTTTTATTTTATGAGATGTTTCATTTGAGATTTCTTGAGATTTCCAGATATGCTAATTATTTTCAGATAGTGAGCTTCAGAATGGTAAGCATCCAAAAGTGTTTGGAAAAAAACGCACATACCACCTTGTGAGGGGTCATTACAAATAATCTTCTGGCTTTCTATTTAGGGAATTTTTAATTTTAAGATGATTTAAAAGTTACCATCTCCATAAATTTTTGTATTTTTTCCCATTGATTGATAACATTAATTTAAAAGCTTTTTTAGGTTTATTCGAAAGACCTTGCTATGTATTTCTAAGTTTCCTGCAATAGAAATTTCAGTGTTTATCGTTTTTTTTCCCTTAGTGTACATTAAGGATAACTATTAATTTTTTTTAAAGTTTCTGCACTATCATTTATAAAGTACAGTGTGAGTATGTGTTTCTATTGAATATTTATGTTTATAGACTAGAAGAACTGGCTGTGATTTGTGCTAATTTTGACATTCCACATATAGTCAATAATGCTTATGGAGTGCAGTCTTCAAAGTGTATGCACCTCATTCAGCAGGTAAGAATTTAAAATGATATATATGTCAAGGAAAAATTCATTTTAACATATTATGGGATTGTTACTTTTTCTACAAATTGATACAGTAAAAACAGTTATTTATCACCATCTGCTTTAGGGAGTATTAGGAACCTGCATCTGATAATCTCTCAGTACAAGTCATTATTCTTTGTACTATGGTGGTAATTGGACTGATAGCTTTGGTAGTAGACTAGAATCAACATAGAAATACTTTAGTAGTTTAGCTTTTAACTTTCTGAGAATGTTTCATTATCAGGATTCTCATTTTTCTAATATACTGGATTATACCATTTTTTAAAATATATGATTTCTTCTATATTTAAGGAATTATTATACCTTATTATCTTAGGCTAGAAATGACTTCATTTATAAACATTCTAGTATATAGCTATGGAATTGACAGGTTTTTGTATTTTTTTTTAAGCATCAACTAGATTCTGGTCATTAGCTTTAGGTTCTAATTTTGAAATTATGTCTGTGTTTCCCATGTCACTTATAGGAAGAACTATGGCCTACAAGGCTTTGTGTATTAAGGCCTTTGCTGATTTGCAGATTTCATTTTCTACTGCTTTTCGTTTGCCTTCTCTGCTCCACCCACCCTCGCTGCCTTTCTTTTCTTCCATTTTGTCGTGTGTGTGCATTTCTAGGCTTTTACTCTTGCTTATCCCACTCACTGGACTGCTCTTTTAGAGAGTTGCGTGACTTTCTTTAGGTCAGCGAAACTTCCTCAGAAACTCTATCTGTGATTGTTATTATTGACAATCAATAACTGATTACTGAACCAAGTGAATGAATAAATGAAATATTGTGTTTATTTATGCAGGTATATTACAGGCTATATAGTTTGTGTGCATAATGATGTTAATATATATACTCAGTTTTGACATATGTGTCAAACCCTATCTAATACCTCCCCCTTTCTCACTAGCATTTTCTGCTTTTTTTTTTATTTTTGAGATTAGGGTCTCACTCTGTTGCCCATGTTGGGGTGTAGTGGTGCATCCACAGTTCACTGCAGCCTCTACCTCCCAGGGTCAAGTGATCCTCCTACTTGAGCCTCCTGGGGAGCTGGGACCACAGGTGTGCACCACCAACCCCAGCCAACTTTTTGTATGTTTTCTAAAGATGAGGTTTTGTCATGTGGCCCCAGCTGGTCTTGAACTCGTGGGCTCAAGTGAGCCTCCCACCTTGGCCTCCCAAAGTGCTGGGATTACAGATGTGAGCCACTGTGTCTAGCGCTTGCTAGCATTTTCTATCCCTCTCTTTCTTTTTTTTATCATGTTCATTGATTTTAAGATGTAGTGTTCTGCATTTTGACATTTGAAATTGTGATGTCTTATAGTCAGTGGTGTCTTACAATGTTAACAGGTAATGTTATTACTTAGTGACATATAAAATAATGATGCTTTTTAAAATTGGTGGCTTTTTGCTATTTTTCTCCAGAACACTTATCAACACTTGATGTAATGTTTGTTTATTGTCTAGTTATTGACTGTAATTAGAATTAAGGTTCTGTTGGGGTTAGAAGGTAGAACTTTGTTTTGTTCACTGCTGTGGCCTCAATACTTAAGACAGAATCTAGTACATAATGGACAATAATAACTGGTTACTAAATAGAGTCAGTGAATAAATGAAATATTGTATTTATGCATGTATGATGTGGGCTACATAGTTTGTGTACGTAATGATGTTAATATACATATTCAGTTTTGACATACATGTGATTTGTGTTATGTGGGCATAAGTTATTCACAGATTACCTGTCGCCTGCTCCAATATGGTAAATGCTCTGAAGCACAATAGATAACTAGTTATTTTTTTGTCTTTTATATCATTTTGAGTATACCAGTATCATGTTTTACATAAATGTGGTTTATATGGAATAGTAATCGCTGGTTTGCTTAATTTCTTTACTCAAGTTTGTATCAGTTAGTATGTCATTGGCAGCAAGTAACAGAAACTCAACTCAAGGTGGATTAAGCCAATAAGGAAATGGATTAATTTATGTAGCAAGTCCAGAGGTGGCTTGGGTTGTAGGCATGGCGTGTCAGGATTTCTTAAAACGTTTAGAGAAAGACTGTTTACCATTTCCTTGGTATTTTTTTTTTGTTATACTTTAACTTTTTGAGGCTTCTTCACTTTATACTAGAGTGTATGTAACTCATATGGTCATAGAAGAAGGGTGTACAATTTTCTGCACTGGAAATCTTGAAAAACATTTTATTTCAGTCATTGATTTTTACTCCTCCCCTCCCTTTCCACCTTGCTCTTCTCTGTAGTTTTTAGCAGCTTCTCTTCTTTTAAAAGTCAAATACCATCAGCATTACTAAAAGTTTAGGAAAATGAGGAAGGTGTAGAAGATAATTCATAACACTATTACCCTAACAAATAACCCTTAACAATTTATATATTTACTTTTTCTCATTTTATATACATATTGTTTTTACATAGTCATATTCATTGTGTACCTTTAATATTTTAGTGTTATATTTCTGTACTCTCCAGATGCCTGTAAAGTCTTCATAATGATCATTATAATGATACTCACAACATATTTTTAAATACTAGAAAATTTGGTGGTACACTTGAAGAGATTAAAACTGAAAGAGGCTGGGTATGGTGGCTCACTCCTGTAATTCCAGTACTTTGGAAGGCCAAAGCTTGCGGATCACTTGAGGCCAGGAGTTTGAGACCTCCCTCTACAAGCGAGACTCCATCTCTACAAACCTAAAATTAGGAAAAAATTATCTGGGTGTGGTGGTGTGTTCTAATAATCCCAGCTATGTGGGAGGCAGAGGCAGGAAGATTGATTGAGCCTAGGAGTTCGAGGTTATGGTGACTTATGATCACACCACTGTACTCCAGCCTGGGTGACAGAGTGAGACATCTCTTAAAAAAAAAAAAAAAGAGAAAAAAAAAGAGCTCCAGAATAGGGTAAGAAAGCTGCCCTGGGAGCTGTGCGTCTTCAATACTCTGCTTTGTCATTACCTCTCTGCATTTGTGAGGCGATTTTACTAACATTTTAACCAAAGCATCAAACTATAAGATGGGTGAATAAACTTTTAAATGCAGACATTGTTGCAGATAATGTATTACCTTCTTAAGTTGACATTCCTTTAAAAATTTTTCTTTGAGAGGAACGGATCCAAGATGGCCGATTGCTAACATCCCAGGATTGCAGCTCTCAGGGAAGGCGCACTTTCAGACAAATTCTGGTCGCTCACGGAGCAGAAGATTCCCCAGTGGAGGAAACACAGGGGTGGCCAGCGAGACTCTCTTGGCCGGCGCAGCGGTTCTGCCGGCACCTCGGCGCGCAGCTCTCGGAGCAGAGTAAACAGGTTCGGAGGACCCGCAGGGGGCCCCAGCAGGACACCAGAGCCCGGCAGTGGCTGTGACGGCACCTCGGTGCGGGCGCAGAGTAAACGGGACTGGTTCCCCTTCTGACCGAGGTTTGGAGCCCCGGGAAGGCAGAGTCGCCTACTACGGACACAAGAAGGAAGCCAGACAGGAGAATCCTGGGCGGAAAAGCACCATCAGTTTTAACGCTGCTGCTCTGGCCCTGGGAACTAACAACCTGGACGTCCACTCAAGAGACCTAATCTGAAAGTTGGCAATTTCAAAGACGACAGGAGGATAAATTTACAATTATGGGAAGAAACCAGCGTAAAAAAGCTGAGAATACTCAAAGTCAGAACGCCTCTCCCTCTAAAGGTGATCACAGTTCCTCATCAACAATGGAACAAGGCTTGATGGAGAATGAGCGCATCCTGATGACAGAGTCACTCTTCAAGGAATGGATAATAACAAACTTCGGTGAGTTAAAAGACCATGTTGTAGCCCAACGTAAAGAAACTAGGAACTTTGAAAAAAAGTTTGATGAAATCCTATTGAGAATAGACAACTTAGAGAGGAGTATGAGTGAATTAATGGAACTGAAGAATACAATACAGGAACTCCGAGAAGTATGCACAGGTTTAAACACTTGAATTGTTCAAGCAGAAGAAAGGATATCAGAGGTCAAAGTCCAACTTAATGAAATGAAACGTGAAGAAAAGATTAGAGAAAAAAGGATAAAAAGGAATGAGCAAAGTCTCCAAGAAATGTGGGACTATGTGAAAAGACCAAATTTACGTTTGATAGGTGTACCTGAATGCGACGGAGAGAATGAATCCAAGCTGGAAAATACCCTTCAGGATATTATTCAGGAAAATTTTCCTAAACTAGCAAAGCAGGTCAACATTCAGCCCCAGGTAATACAGAGAACACCACAAAGATATTCCTCAAGAAGAGCAACCCCAAGGCACATAATCATTAGATTCACCAGGGTTGAAACGAAGGAGAAAATACTAAGGGCAGCCAGAGAGAAAGGTCATGTTACCCACAAAGGCAAGCTTATCAGACTTACAGCAGATCTCTCAGCAGAAACTCTACAAGCCAGAAGAGAGTGGGGGCCAATATTCAACATCCTCAAAGAACAGAACCTTCAGCCCAGAATTTCATATCCAGCCAAACTAAGCTTCACAACTGAAGGAAAAATAAAATCTTTTATGAACAAGCAAGAACTCAGAGATTTTATTACCACCATGCCTGCTTTACAAGAGCTTCTGAAAGAAGCATTACACACAGAAAGAAACAACCAGTATTAGCCTTTCTAAAAATACACCAAAAAGTAAAGAGCACCAACATAAAGAAGAATTTACACCAACGAATGGATAAAACGGCCAGTCAACATCAAATGGCAGTAACCCTAAATTTAAATTGACTAAATCCCCCAATCAAAAGACACAGCCAAAACCCAACGGCAGGTTACATCCAGACCTGTTTCACATGCAAGGATACACAAAGACTCAAAACAAAGGGATGGAGAAAGATTTACCAACCAAATGGAGAGCAAAAATAAATAATAAATAAATAAAAAGCAGGAGTTGCAATTCTCGTATCGGATAAAATAGATTTTAAAGCAACAAAGATATAGTGGTAAAAGGATCAATGCAACAATAAGAGCTAACGATCCTAACACCCAGATACATAGAGACTTAGATTCAATGAGACAGAAAATTAATAAGGATATCAAGGACTTGAACTCAGATCTGGAACAAGTAAACTTAATAAATATTTATAGAGCTCTCCACTTCAGATACACAAAATATACATTCTTGTCAATACCACATCACACCTACCCATAGGTTTAAATGAAACATTGATTGGTCATTATTAATACCCAATTTTTTTCAGAATAAAGCAATATTTCCATTTACTCTCCCTCTTTCTCTTCCTCTTTCTTCCTCTCCTTTACTTATTTTCTTTTTCTTTCCTTCTCTCAAAAAAAAAAAAAAGAAATCAACGTGTAAACCTCTAGATCCAGGTCGGCAATGTCTCTCTCATTGCTTGATTTCCTTCCTTCCCTTCCCTCCCTCCCTTCCCCCTTCCTCCCTTCTTTCCTTCCTTCCTCCCTACCGTCCTCCTTCCCTCCCTTCCTGCCTTCCTCCCCAAAAATATAAAAATTAAAAAAAAATTTTTTCTTTGATACATAATATTTGGATATATTTATGAAGTGCATATGATATTTTGATACATGTACACATTATGTGATGGTTAAGTCAGAGTATTTAGGCTATCCATTACCTGGCATTTATTTTTTCTTTTTGTGTTAGGAACATTTCACATCCTCTCTTCTGGGTATTTTGAAATACACAATATGTTGTTGTTAACTGTAGTAACTGTACTGTGCTATTGAACATGAGAACTTATTAAATTGGACATTCCTTTAAAACAAAAAGAGCAAATATATAAACATTCTGTTTTTCCCAAATTGGCCTTTGCCAAAAGAGTTTGTGGCACTATTGATTTAAATCAAATAAATGCTCGAGTCTTACTGAGTGCTGTTTGCTGTTTCATGACATTCAAAAAAATTACAGTTAGCTTTAATTCATCTCAATAGTCCTTATTGTTAATATTTACCATTTTCCATGTGTCAGGCATCTTACTAGGCTTTTAAAGTTATTACTGAGACCTAACAATTTTAGGTGTACTTCTTATTCCCATTCTGCACATGGAGAAATAAGCTAAATGGGGTTAAGTGACTTGCCCAAGGTCTATAGCTACAAAATAGCCCATGTAGTTCAGTGTGACTCCAGAGTCCTATTTTTCTGTTGAAAAACAAAGCTAATACCATAAGTCTTTTCTTTAGAAAATAATATTACAATAATTAAATATATGAAGAAAAACTATAAATAAAATGTTTTTTACTTTTAGTAAGATTATGTTTTTAATTTTTTTTATTTTTAAGGAGAGACCCCAGAATACCTTAATACTGAGCATATAGAGTGTTCTGTATGCACATGTAGCCCCCAGGGAAATTAGTTTTGAATAACTGATATTTCTGTTCATATTTACTAAAATGACTAAGAGATTCATGGAGTATGGATGTTAGAATAGATTAATGGAGAGGGATATAGTAGAGTCACCAAAATATGTGTATGAGATTAATTATTTGAGTCATAATGGATTATAAAACTCCAAAAGTGTGGGAAGCAGCAACTTTGCCTATTAAGAATTTGAGGGAAGTAGGTGTTAGTACTGTTTATTCACAGACCTAATTGTCACTTCATTCAACAAATATTTACTGGGTTCCTATTTGTGTACCAGGCATGAGGGTAGGAACTCGAGATGAAATAGTGAATCTGACAAAATCTTTAACCGCCATGAAGCATTCGGTTTTTTTGTGGGAAAGCAGACAGTAAACCTTGAGTATGACAGGTCTTGGATAAATGCTCAGGTATTTGGCAGGGAGGGATGTCATTAGATGGAGTGATCTAGGAAGCACTCTTCAAGAATGTGAGTGGAGCTCTGAATGACGTGAAGGAGGAAGCTTTGCAGCTCTCTAGATTCCAGACAGAAGCTAATAGCCAAGACTCTGAGGCAGAAGTGTGCTTGGAATGTGTGAGAAATAGCAAGGAGGCCAGTATGGCTGAACCATAATGAACAAGGTGAACAGTGGTTGTAGAGCTTTAAGGTGTGTTAAGGGTTTGGGATTTGATTCTTGGTATGATCGTTGGCCGTGGAAGGATGTCAAGCAGGAAAGAGTGATGTGCTATGTGGGAAACAGACTGTAGGGAGGCAGGTGTAGAAGCTAGTGCAACAATCCATATGAAATTTCTTGGTGGCTTTGGCCAGGGTAGTAGCTGTGAAGGTGGTAATAAATGGTTTTATTCAGATGTATTTTGAGTGTGGATTTTAGATCATATACTGGTGACTTATGTAGCTGAAAGAGGGGGTCTTTGAACCATTTCTGAGATTGGGTCTGGCCTGTTTGTTTTCTTGCCACAAAGTATGCTGCCTTTTGAATACCTTCTGTGTTTCAGTGATGGAAGGATTCTAGCAAAGTCTGGTGCACTGATTTCTCTAGCACTTCTGCTTCCAATTTACGTTCCTGTTTCTCTCAGGAAGCCTTGGACAGTACTGTTAATACAAAAGCAACTCTGTTCCACTTATTTTTATATGCTGCTACTTCACATGTTTTCCAGGGTTTTTTATTCTGTTAGTCTTATATGCTTCTGTTTTCCTGTGATATGATGAGATTTTCTCTGATCATGGTTTATTAGGAAATTAGAAAGAAGAGGAAGAGGAAGGTTAAGATTTGAACCTGTATCATGACTCCCAGAGCAGCCACTCCTCTTCCCTGTTTTGGCTGCTTTCTCCTACTGCCTGAATCTGGACTCTGAGATAGGCCAGTTATCTGTTCCTTCTATTCTCCCTGAGATAGTGAGGTGTGAAAATGAAGGTCAAATATGGTTATAATATTAATAGGAATGCAGATTGTGAATACAGATTGAAAATCTGTGGCTACAGATAAAGAAAAAGACTATCTTAGTTGTAATTTAGATAGTATCTCTATTTTTAAGAGGAGAAAATTGAAGCACATTAGATAGAAGGTCATAGACTGTGTTGGATGGGGACCAGAACTGAGTTTTACATTTCTAGTAGGCAAGTATTCAATTTTTCACCAGAATATTAGATTTTCACTGGAAGTTCATTTGCAGTGGAATGAAATCATCTAAGTTTATTATATTAGGGAGCATGAGTTATATAGAAACATAGCTTCTAGGATGCCAAGAGTATACAAATGAAATTTCCATTAAGTAATGTTAAAAGTTTTGCTTTTCTTTTTTGTTATCTGAGTGCTTAAAATGGTCATAGAGGTAGTAGATTGTCCAAGCATTAAAGAGAGGCACGTGTATAATTAACTCTTTGGCAACTTGGATGACTACATCCATTAAGTCATGGAGGCCACCCTTGAACACACAGAGGGTGTTTAAAACCACTTAATAGTTATAGGGCCCAGTGCAGACATCTGTTGTCAAAAAAGGAGTACAGATGGGAGGCAAGGGATGAATTCATTCTCTCTTACCCAATTTTAAGGTGTAAAGCTCTGTTTCATTAAAGTTCCCACCTGAGCTGATACTTAAACCATGCTTGCTTCACAGAGTTAGGAAGATTAAATAATTTATGTGTGAAAGCAAGTTGTAAATTAAAGTTTCACATATAAGGAGCACCATCAAAAATTTTTGTTTAATACTTAAAAACATTTTATTGGCACTATAACAAAGGAAATAAACATTTTCGGGCCGGGCGCGGTGGTTCACGCCTGTAATCCCAGTACTTTGGGAGGCCGAGGTGGGTGGATCACGAGGTCAAGAGATTGAGACCATCCTGGTCAACGTGGTGAAACCCCATCTCTGCTAAAAATACAAAAAATTAGCTGGGCACGGTGGCGCATGCCTGTAATCCCAGCTACTCAGGAGGCTGAGGCAGGAGAATTGCCTGAACCCGGGAGGCGGAGGTTGTGGTGAGCCGAGATCGCGCCATTGCACTCCAGCCTGGGTAACGAGCGAAACTCCATCTCAAAAAAAAAAAAAAAATTTTCAATAGTTTTTTATTTCTATGCATTGTTTTAATAGTGTTTATTTTTAGTCTAAGGTAGAGCTGACAAACATTGTATATATTTACAGTGTACAATTTGATATTTCAATGCATGTATATATTGTGAAATGGTTAAATCATGCTAATATATTAATTACCCCAAATACAGTTTTTTGTTATGGTGTTTATTTGTTAATAGCAGTTGTCTATTTTCCTAGCAACTAATATGTAATATTATATTGATTCTAGGGGGCTCGAGTTGGTAGAATAGATGCTTTTGTTCAGAGCTTGGACAAAAATTTTATGGTTCCAGTAGGTGGCGCTATAATTGCTGGCTTTAACGATTCCTTCATTCAGGAAATCAGCAAGATGTATCCAGGTAAATAAATAAGTTGCTTTTCAGAAAAAGTAATAAACAAACATCCATTTGTACATTGGCTACTGTAATAAATCTTAATTTCCAAAGCCACCACCACTTAATCTCCTTAATGTAACTTATCCTTATTTCAGGAAGAGCTTCAGCTTCACCTTCTTTAGATGTCCTTATTACTTTATTATCACTTGGATCAAATGGCTATAAGAAACTATTAAAAGAAAGAAAGGTAAGCTTTCCCTTTAGGAGTCGAATAATATTCTCAACTAGAACCGTACTCTAAATCATTGGTGTTTCTGCCTATTAGTTGCTTGCATTGAGAGGGAGATATCTAGTATGGTCCGACAGTATTTATTCAGATCTAGAGTCCCCGTGGGTGGTTTCCTATTGGTTTTTGTCAGCCTGTCTATTCAGATATTTTGAGGAATCTTGAATATGTGCTTTTGCTTTTATTTATTTACTTGTTAGAAACTCTTGCATTAAGGACGCTTTTTCAGTAAAATTCAATTCATTTATCACTTAAAGGTAGAGGCTCTTAAAAGACAAATGGAGAAGTCATCTTTTTAGTTTTTGGGAACCTGAAAACTTGTTTAGGTATGAGATGTCAGTCCTAGGAGGAAGAACCAGGTCAGAAGTTAGCTCTGTCTTTTTACACTAAAATAATAAATTTATCTCTTGTTATTATTGAATGCTGAACTGATTGGTTATATTGGCTATGAAAAGAAAAGTAACATTTATGCTTGGAAACAGGACTTTATCTCCAACACAACTAGCTTAATTCAGGACAACTCCAAAAGACAGAGATAGTTAGCTAGGGCAAGTCAGACTGCTGTGTTTTATTCATCCTCTATGTGGGAGAGAGTTAGTCCTCTGGTGCTATTTTTATATCTGGTAACTTTCTAGTACTTAATAACAATTATAGTCCCTTATATTTTTAATAATGCTTTATATGTTTGAAAACATTTTCATATGTATTATCTCATAGATCTTCTCATAGCCTTATGATGAATACGTAACAGAAGTTTGAAAATCTTGTGCTCTATTTTACCCCAGCCCTCTTTCCCCTGCTCATTCATTCAATGGGAAAGTAATTGTTTAATTTTGAGAACATTTCTTAAGGCTTATGTGATACAAGAAAATATGCTCAATGGCATTAGTCATTAGGGAAATGCAAATTTAAAACTGCAGTGAAATACCACCATACACCTTTTAGCATGGCTAATGTACCAAAATATGCAACAAGATAATGACTTTCAAATGCATTATACAAAATGAAAGAAGCCAGACTCAAATGGCTACATATTACATGGTTTCATTTATATGCTATCCTGGAAAAGGTTAAAAATATAAGGAAAGAAGAAAGATTAATGGTGGCTAAAGGCTAGGGGTTGGGGAGGGAACTTTTTGGGGTGATGAAACGTTTTATATCTTGGTAGTGGTAGTGGTTTCATGACCATATGTATTTGTCAAAATTCATAGAAGCGAACACCTAAAAAACAGACACCCCGAATTTTATTATATGTAGTGAATTACACCTCAGTAAGTCTGACAATGAATTTTTATACAATAAAAATAAAACTCTGGTTTTATAAACTCCAAATTGTAATCACTCATGGTCATAGATTGTTGTAGCCAAGAGAAGACCTTGGCAAATCTTTCAAGGGGACAAATCCATATGTCAGATGACAGCTTTCTGTAGATGAGGAAAACTTGTCATCTGCTTATATGAGAGTTGAGTTGTTTCAGATGCCAGTGGTTCTTAGCTCTTGTGTAATTAGTTTTTTCATCCTGGAAAAATTTTAAAGGTTTTATTTCCCCATTGGTGAAGGAGACAATTGCTATCTCAGGACACTTTTAGTTTTAAGAGACTCTAGAATATTTCTTAAAAGAGTTACTCTCTGGACTTTGGACATAATAATATGGGAATTGGTCTGTAATTTAATAATCCAGTATAAGGCATATTGGTAATATAAATCAAGACATTTTGTGAATTTGACTTTTTCTTTTTTTTTTTCTTAAGATGGGGTTTCACCATGGTGGCCAGGCTGGTCTTGAGCTCCTGACCTCAGGTGATCCACCCACCTCGGCCTCCCAAAATATTAGGATTACAGGTGTGAGCCACCCAGCCGACTTTTTCTTTTTAACATAATGATCTTTCTGCCCTTATCAGGCTGTCTTGGCTTCCCTCTTTGCATCTGAATAAACCCTTAAGATAGCATGGTCTAAAGTATGGAAATGCAAAGGTAAAGTTGAATGTGGGGTAAGAGTCATTCAGTAAATATTTAGCTTGCTATGTGTTTAATGAGTACATAGTATGTGTCAGGCATATAGATATATAAAGTACATAAAGATACTTGCTCTTGTGGAGCACGCATTGCCTATGGGGGAAACCAGCAACAAACAGGCAACATAATACAGAAATTACAAAGTTTGCTTGAAGGTGAAAAGTACTATGGAAAAACGCAAGAACAGATTAAGGAGAATTTGGGGTGATGAGGTGGTGGTGAGAACTGATTTTTAAATACAGTGGTTAGGGCAGGCCTCCTTGAGAAGGTGGCTTTTTTTAAGACAGTCTTGCTCTGTCCACCAGGCTGGAGTGCAGTGGTGTTATCTTGGCTCATTGCAACCTCTGCCTTCTGAGTTCAAGTGATCCTCCCACCTCAGCCTCCTGAGTAGCTGGGATTATAGGTGTGTGCCACCATGCTCAGCTAGTTTTGGTATTTTTAGTAGAGACAGGTGTTTTCCATGTCGGCCAGGCTGGTCTTGAACTCCTGACCTCACGTGATCCACCCACCTTGGCCTCCCAGAGTGCTGGGATTACAGGTGTGAGCCTCTGTGCCCAGCCCAAGACCATGACATTTGAGTGAACTTGAAGTTTGAGGGAATATACACATATGATGGTGAAGTGTGTTTCAGGCAGAAAGCCAGTATCAGGACCCTAGGTCAGATGTAGACCTTGTGTATTTGAGAAGCAGCAAGGAGGCCAGTGTGGCTGGAGCAAGGAGGAGAACTGTGGGAGTTGAGGTCAGGGTGGTAATGAGGGTAGGGCTGATCATGTGGGGCCTTCTAGGCCACAGTAAGATCTGTGTCTCCTACTCTGAGTGAAATAGGGAGCCATTGGAGGGCTTGAATTGAGTAGAATGATCTAACATGCTTTGAATCCTCACATTGATTGCTGTTTGATAATAGATTAGTGGGGCAAGGGTAGAAACTGGGTGGATACTTCTTAGGAGCTTTTTATAGTAGTTAAGAAGTGATATTGGCTGGGAGTTAGATGGTGGCAGTGGAGGTAATAAGTGGTTAGGGTGTAGGTTTGTGTTGAAGGTTGAGTGAGTAGGAGTTCCTCGTGGATGTTAGAGACAGGTAAAGAATAACTGAGATTTTCTGAGGTTTTGGAGGAAGACTAGGAGTTCAGTTTTGGACAAAATTGAATTTGAATTGACCTTAAGATAGAGTTGCAAAGTAGAGAGTAGGATATGTAAGTCTAGGATCAAGAGAGAGAATTGGGCCGAAAATTAAAATTTGGAAGTTAATTGACCAAGAGACTAGATGAGATTGCAAGAGAGTGAGTCTAAGCAGAAAAGAGGTATAAGGACTGAGCTCTGGGGTACTACAGCCTTAAGAGGTCTGAGAAAAACAACCGGCAAAGGAGACTTAGAAGGTGCATTCACTTAGGAGGAAGACCAAGAGTGTGGAGTCCTGAGTCTTCCTTCCCTTGGCATCCCTCAGATACCAAAATCTGTAAATGCTCAAGTCCCATATATAAAATGACGTCATATTTTCATGTAACCTATGCACATCCTGCTGTATTCCTTAAATCATCTCTAGATTACTTAGAATACTGAATACAATGTAAATGTTATATAAGCAGTTGTTATACTGTATTGTTTAGGAAATAATGACAAGAGAAAAAGTCTGTGCATTTTCAGCACAGATGGAATATTTTTTTCAAATATTTTTGATCCACACTTGGTTGAAGCTATGGAGGCAGAACTCATGGATATAGAGGACCAACTGTGTATTAAGGAGTAGGGAGTGATTAGCATAGCTAATGGCACTGATAGGTTAGGTAGGGTGAGCATTAAGATTTGACCATTGGTTAGAAAGGGTTCATGTAAAAATCATTCTTAACATAGTCTTTCCATGCGAAGTTTGTGTTTATACAAATACCATATACGTTCTTATAAATTTATGTACATATGAAATAATTACACAATACTGAGCTCTTACTCTATGGAAGGCACTAAGTACATTTGTATGTATACATTTAATCCTCAAAATATTCCTGTGAGGTGTTGTTATCCTCATTTTCAGAGGAAATAGAGAAGTAACGTATGAGGTGAATTGTGGAATATGGGCTTAAATCTGGGCAATTGGATCTCCTGTTCTCTGTCTTCACTTCTAAATTCTACTGCCTTTTTAAATAAAGATAATAATGTAGCCTCGTCGCTATGGAGCTATTTATATGGCTATAAATCTCAAATATAGATCTACTAATATCTAAAGGGGATAAAAACAGTGAATAAATCTAGCTACTCTGGCCAGAAAAGCTCAGTTATATTTTAGAGAGAATATATGTTGTTTGCTGGTGCAGAATCACTGTCATTGGAGAACTGCTCCTCCCTGCCTCCAGGTAGTCCTGCTGAGTCTGTCAATTACAGTATTCCTTCCTTCTCTTTTATAGGGTGGGCAAATAATCTGGCTAGCCTGGTTCACAGACATGTGGAGATAGTGTCCTTCCAATAGATTTGATCGATCCTTTAGAGACAGGACCTCTTGCTTTGCAGATAGTAAGCTGTAAGGATATAATCTTAGAACTGCCAGCTGCCATATTTCTAGCCACGCCAAGAGAGACTTCTTGACTCTAGGGAATATTAGAAGGAAAACATAATTAAGTCATTTGAGACTCTGTATCCAGCCATGTCTGCTTGTAGACTGGGCTGTTAGATGAAGCAGTAAATTCCCTTCTCTGTTTTAAACTAGATTTCTAATGCTGATACTTTTGATTCCTCTTATACCTTTAAGTCCTTATTATCATTAAGTCTTTCACAATGTTTCCAACATTCATTTCTTTCCATTTCCACTGCTACCACTCCCTAATTTAAGTCCTTACCACATCACACCTGATGGTTACAATAATTTACTCACACTTCTCCTGTTCCCCAACCTTGGTCTACTCTAATTTGTCATATTGTAGAGCAGTTTCAGGTTAATATTCTAAAGACACAA